TACAATTAATACACAGCCTATTTAATTATATGCCAATACACAGCTGTTTCTACGTATTTATATTACGCGATACATGTTCATAGCTGTTGTTATATTGTATGGCAAATAAATCACATCTTCACAGCTGTTATTTCGTTCTTAATGTATATTGCTTCATATCGCTTATGATGCTTCATAATCCATGCATTACGGTGGAATTCCGTACAGATGGAAGTGTCACCTACAGTGGCTTTGTTGGCAACTACGTTGTTAGTGACGGTATGTACAGAGGCTCTATCTGGTATAATGAGTTCATGACTTCACTCAACGTTCTTACTCCACTATGCCGTATAAATAGTTTGATCATGACGTACATTCAACTCTCGAAATATCTGAGGTACGAGAACTCGTGGGAAACCGGGTGATCGTGACAGAATGATTATTTGAACAGGATGATGGGCACACATTCTGATACAAGGCATTATGTATTTCAGCTGTGAACGCCACCACGCCCACTCCCGGCAGTACATGTAAGTTCATTCTTCAATGTTACATTGATGCTTCAGGAATTAAAGCCATTTGACTTTTGACATCAACGAATTTGATGCTATTGAACAGGATGATGGGCACACATTCTGATTCAAGGCATTATGTATTTCAGCTGTGAACGTCACCATGCTCACTCCCGTCAGTGCAGGTAAGTTCATTCTTCAATGTTACAGTGATGCTTCATAATCCTTGCCTGCGTATTAAGTAAATATCAGTAAATATTTAATTCTTTCTTCATATAATTGTTTTATGTTCCAGCGACATGCACAGCAACCTTGTCGTCATTATCTGGCAGCATCATGAGCGCACCAGGTGACGGCAGCAACTACTTGGACAACACCCGGTGCAACTACACCTTCACAGCGACATCCTACCCGAGAACCATTACCTTCACCTTCACAACCTTCCAGCTGGAGAGTCATTCCTCCTGCACATATGACTACCTCCAGTTTAACAGCGGCGTGAAGAAATGTGGAACTATCTCCAATCTCGTGTGTAAGTACTCCAAGCAGCTTGGGAAATGATCTCAAGCTGAACTTCGATGATATTTTTGAGGTTTCAATACTCCCATGCCTCAGCATATGCATAGGTTTGCGAGATATAGATATTTGTTAATTGGGCAGGTATTTCTGAAGTACAGATACAGAAAATATAACTTTTGCACAATATATTGGGTACGTTTTTATTCAGTATACATCAATTGTAGATAATTCAGTGTTATTAGGTGCAGAAGAGCATAGTACAACATTATTGTAACTCTGAATTAAATTGACCGAAATGATCTGGCCCCACTCAACACCTCAATATACATCATGCATTGGTGTTCGCGTTGTATCCTGGGTGCGTGTTTGTCTCCAGATACTGACACGATGAACGGCCAGTACCGTGTCACCTTCTACACTGACGGATCAGTCACACGCCGTGGCTTCGTGGCCACCTACCAGATCAGTGACGGTAGGTATTAATGGTTGATTCTCATTACACACAATCGTACAATAATCCTGCAAGCACCCCTGTGTAACTCCGTGTATCTACACCTCGTCCTTTTGTTCATCTATCAGGATTTAAAGTCATATGACTTTTGACATTAACGAGTTTGATGCTATCCTGTCCCGCGAGCCTCACCTATTATTTCACTTTTTTAAAATTTGAACACATATAAGATGTTGAACATTCACAGATCACGATTCTGATTTATTCTGTTAAAAATGAGTTCAATTATACTGAATGTACATGTGATATATGGGATGGAAATATTCTTCTGTAACAATAGTCAGACAAACATGGAATTCAACATCCATTACAACATCGTGCCAGGTGACTATTTCATCAATGATGTATAGAAAGCACTTGTCTTTTCCACTTTGAAGGCCTGTCATTGACCTGATGCACATTGCATCTTGTCTTCTTGTAACCTTTGTATAACATCATCCGTGATTACAGATCGTTTCAATAAGAATGATCACTGACAGACATTTCTCATATTCTGAAAGCATTGGGGTAGCCTAGTGGTTCAAGCTTTCCCTCGTCAGGTCGAAGGCCTGGGTTCGATTCCCCACATGGGTGCCACGTGAGAAGCTCATTTCTGTCGTGATAGTGTTAGAATATTGGTAAAAGTGACATAAAACCAAACTCACACACTACTCATTATCTATATTAATTACATTAAAATAAAGCTGCTGTTCATATTGATGATAACTTTTATTCATGACATTATGTTCCCAGAAACAGTGTCACCTTGCCCTTCTTTACCAAAACAAAAAGTAAATGTAAATATATGAAAATATATATATATATATCTATATATATTAGACCAGATTAACGTTGGTATAAAATGCAGATCAAATCGACTTATGCTTCCTCAACAGACAGCTGTTACCAGCTCCTGACAGATGCTGATGGACAGATTCAGGTCCCTGATGATGGCAACGCAACCTACTCACCTAACCTCGACTGCCTGTTCACCATCAGGCCTCCAGCAGGTCGGATGTGGGTTGTTAACATCACTCTGGAGGAGTTCGACGTGCAGAGATATTATTCTTCCAACAATAACAGTTTCTCCACCTCCTGCAGCAATGATTACATACAGATGCTCTACAAGGGCTATTCTTCCTCCAGGATGTGCGGAACAAGGACTTCACCCAAATTTTACATATGTTTGTACCATTAATGCTTGCCATCACATTTTGCTTTCTAAAACAATGTTTATTCATGTACACATGATAGATATCTTAAATATATGTTCAAATGGATGTGCTCGATTGTTGCTCAAAAGATGTCAAACATTGGAGCTGCTGGCATATTGCTGGACATCAATGGAAAGTTGACCATTGGAAAGATGAAATCATCCTTTCTTTCATCCAGTGTTGTGGATAGTTATTGTTACTTTGAATCTGTAGGCATATATCTAAATCAGATGAAGCAGTCTCTCGGGATTTCTCATCTAATGCTGAGGTGGGTAAATCAGTTGGCTATTTGACCATTATTGAATGATATCAGATCATCGAAATACCCGACCATGGAGTTAACCTTTTCACTAAATTCCTTTGTTCTATTTTTCCAAATTAGTGCAGAAACTCTCACTTGTATGCGTAAATAATTAGATCTGCAAGGAGGAGAGCGCAGTTGGTGCCCATGGTGATGCCTACATTATTGCATAAATATCATGCTCCCAATGTCACATCGATGCTATCTGTGAGGAGGTCCATCACTTTACGAAGTGTTTTCCAAGTAAACTTCAGATAACATTTGATTCAATTTTAACAAATAGTCCTAAACCTTTGAAGATAGAGATACTAACTACATCTATGGTCTCCACGTTCATGGACAAATGTCCCATGGATCAGAGACCGGAGAAAGACAATTACATGTGTTTAAAATGGTGGTTTATATGTGTATGCATTTTACTTCCTTATCTTCAGACAACATCTATGACAGTGATGTGAATATCACTTTCCACAGTGATGCCTCCGTTCAGAGGAATGGTTTCAACATATCTTTCTCCTACACTGAAAGTAAGCAGACGTCTTGCAATAGAAGGTTATATGCCCTGATTTTGTGTATACAAATACTCCTTAAATGAAGCACAGTTGATCTTTATCAAGAAATTATCCATGTGCATCTTGAAAGGTGCAGCTTGTTACAAATGCTAATCTTTGTTGCAGTTCCAGTCAGTTTTAACTTGTAACCTGATCCCCCAAATGAAGATGCATGTACAACTGTACATGACAGAAATATTTAATAAATGCATGTCACCCCCAAAGCTTCATGTCAAGTGAGCAAACCTTCTCAGTTTACAATAAACGGATATAGGAAATATATTAATATTTCAGAAACCTGTGTGACCGACCTCGACCAGAATAATGGTACAATCCGCAGCCCTGTGACTGAGGGTGGGGTGACCTACCCAACAGACACCTTGTGTATTTACTACCTCGACCTTGGAGATTCCCCCAAGACTGTTACTTTCACAGTCAGGGTCTTTGATGTAAACTGTGGTGATTACTTCATCGTTAACGGACAGCGTTTCTGTGGAAACAGATTGACACAAACGGCTTGTGAGTAGTCCACTATTTAGAGCATATTACTGTAATGAGAACGTCAATTGTTTGGCGAATACCAAGATATTCGAAAGATATACCATCAAGATATGCCAAATAAACTAAATAAAATGATATTTGTTATTTTAATGTATGAAACGTTCATTCAATTTCAGTTTTCAATTTCAATATTTTCCCAGTTTTACATATTTTGTATTTCTGTTCTGAAACATCTGAGATCGTTGGTTTGAAATTGTGTTCACATGATCGCATAAATGGCGCCCATGAAGCTCATTGAATTTCGATCAGGTTTTAAAAATGACCATAACTGCAGCCATGTTGAAAATTTGGTTTACCCTATTCGGACCCATTTCTGCATGTATTATTGTCTTATGCAGGGAGTAGTTTGTGCATGTTCTGTGTCAAGTATCACATTTTCCATCAAGCTAACATTGTTTACTGGATGTGCGCTTTTTTCTACAGTCCATATGACAGGGAGGGCAAACATTACCTTCCTGTCCAATAGTTACAGCACAGGACGAGGAGTGGATGTTGACTACCTTGTAACTAATTGTAAGTGGCATTATAGTTTCCTTGTGTGGTGAAAAGAAAAGAAAATGCGTCGATAGTTCGATATTTTATCTGTCTTCTCCAAAGAACAGAGGGTCACCATGCCCAAAGTTCAGATGTATTTAGTTTGCAAGTTTTATATATGAAGAACAATCCTTACTCAACCCAACTTTCTTATTCCAGTCATCATACAACAGGTTTCAGCAATTCAGGGTGTACAGTTTCTGAATGAAAGTCACACACTCGTTCAGTGTGTTGTGAATTTATTGTTGATTTTGAAATACGTCCATGTTATACTGAAAAACACTCATAATAAACTTGACAACCCGTATAAAAAATTATGACAACATCGTTGTGTTGCAGACACATGTGATCGAGTATATCGTACAACGTCAGGGAATTTGGATTCTTACTCTGCATCAAGAGTTGCTCTCGCACAAGACATGGACTGTGAATACATCATTCGTCCCCCGTACTACCCTTTCCTCATTACAATGTACTTCAGTCCATTCTTTATGCCGTACAACTTCACGGACAACAACGGCACTTGTTCTGGCAGCTATGTGGAGATCAGCAGCACACAGTACTGCGGAACTGTTTATGGCCAGTATAACTGTAAGAACTATACTGTACTATTGTAATATATTTTTTTAAATATAGGGTGTCGCATTGTTATAAATGTATGCATTTAGAGCAGATAAGCTAAACGAAATTGAAGAATATGGTTTGTTTGTTTGTTTGTTTGGTGTTGAACGTTTAATGTATTCCATGACGGCTAACTGTTAATACTCGTACCTGGATGAGACAATCCAGTGATTGATATTATGAGCAACGACTCCTGTCGTCATGTGCGATGAAACGCAATCAATCAGATCACTGAGCCTAGCCACACGATCCATAAGCTAGCCTCTTACAACCATCATACACCAGCATATGTTGCTATGGACCTATTATAACCCGAAAACTCCCCAATACGACGAACATGTAAAGCACATGGAGCACACCTTATCAGCCTTCAAACGCTGTACTGAAAATCCAAACTGATCAGGTTACAGACACTTATATAGGAATTTGTAATTTGTCATAAGGCCCTACTTCACCGAAAAATATAAATTGTAACTTGATATGTTTCCAAGTCTCATCAGAGGAGCCTGTGCTACCTGTGCGGTATCATCACTCTGTTAATTCAGTCACAGGGAGGAGGGAAGTCTTTAACATCTACTTCAACACAAGGCCCGGTAGGTATCTCAGGTGACAAATATGTGATAAAAGATTAACTAGATTTAATGCCCTTGAAATGCTTCTTCAAATACTTATATAAGATAGCTACGAGATAAATCGCATAGAACAATAAAGAATGAGGCCTGGTTTACGTCACAATAAACATTGTGCTATCATGACGTCATTTCTGGACATTCGAACATACCTCTCGCATATTGATGATGTCGTAATTGGATAACGGTATTTTTAGTGGGTAGTGAGTTGTTCCCCAAGATGTAGCTGGGCAAAAGTGGCCAAAAGTGGGCGAGATATTGCTATCTGTTTTGGAAGAAGGTACCGATAATAGGCGCGAAAATCGTGAGAATATTCAGAAAATACAAACTTAACCTGCTTGTTCATAAGCATACAAATAAATAATGTCACTTTCTCAGTTTCATGTAATATAACGCTGACCAACACTACGGGCTACATCAACAGCTACTCTGGTTATGGCGATGAATCAGCGTATAGGCGTTCCAACAACGACGGCACTCACTGCATCTTCACAATTAAGGTGGACGACGTTGTGGGTCAGACAATTGTCTTTAGTCTCAATCAGTTCCACCTGGAGGACCCTGACAACATCACATCTGTCTGTAATGACTATGTGGATATGAATGGCGAAGAGAGACTGTGTGGATACCAATATGGGACTCGAAGTTGTAAGTGCAGGGTTTTTATCATTTTCAATCAGTTAAAACACATTTGTTCTTATGATTAATGAAGTGTAGCTAATAGTCAGAAGAGCAGATTTTGTCTAAGAAATCCGGAGTTGTCAGGGATTTTCTGACAGAAACACAACTATTATCTTTTGTATATTGGTGACACGTGCTCAACAATTTATAGCAAATAACTATGTTATATTTGACCTGGTTAAAATCTGAGAGGGGTGTAATAATCCTTCTCAAGTTCCATTGTGTCATTTAAAAACTTATCATACCTCCTAATGTTACAGTCAACTTTGATGGTAATTTTGTCGTGACCTTCACCAGTGACAATAGTCAGACAAACATGGGCTTCAACATCCAATACGACATCGTGCCAGGTGACTATTTCATTAATGGTGTATAGAAAACACTTGTCTTTTCCACTTTGTAGGACTGTCATTGACATGAAGCACATTGCATCGTGTCTTCTTGTAACTTTTTAGATGTATAATATCATTCGTGATTACAGATCGTTTCAATCAGAATAATCACTCACAGACATTACTCATATTCGGAAAGCATTGGGGTAGCCTGGAGGTTCAAGCTTCCCCTCGTCAGGTCGAAGACCTGGGTTCGATTCCCCACATGGGTGCAACGTGAGGAGCTCATTTCTGTCGTGATAGTGTTAGAATATTGCTAAAAGCGACCTAAAACCAAACTCACTCACTACTTATTATCTGTATAAATTACATTAAATTAAAGCTGCTGTTCATATTGATGATAACTTTTATTCATAACATTTTGTTCCTAGTAAATGTAATCCTATTGTTGATCACATAGCATGCATCAATTTACAGCTGGATGCCTGGTCACGCACAACACTACTGAAGGCACTCTGATAAGCCCCGGGACAAGGAGTGGTCTGTACCACAACAACCTTGACTGCCGATACACCATGTTAACATCCTACACCCAGACTAAGGTCACGGTCACCGTCAATGCTTTCGACCTTGAATCCCCATCGTACAGTTCGAGCTACTGTTACGACTACGTATACTTCACAGACGGGTCCTACACTTCAGAAAGATACTGTGGTGCCATCGCTGCAGGAACTACCGTCACATGTGAATAACGTTATATATTATTTTTGAAATATTGTAATCATTGTGACTTGTTATCTTAAATGGACTCTTTGACTGTACATGAAGTAAGACGGGTAAACTTTTATTTCTTGAAGGGTTCACGAATGCGAGACAATTCATCTTTGTCTTTCATACAAACAACCAGATCAGCAGACAAGGTTTCAATGCGTCCTACAAGATTGAGGAAGGTAATGTTATAGGTAGTGTGATATTCTTAAACAACAATTCTTCTTAATTCTTGAACTTGTGACGTAATGAGATTGACGAACACTAAAAATATAGAGATCAATGGATTACTCCACAATCCGATCTCATTTGATATACTTCAGTATCGAGATAATCCACTATTTTTCCCGCGAAAGACAGACCTCCCCTGCGAAGAATTGATTTTCGTTATAATAAGAATTCTTTTTTGTTATTTCAGATCTTTGTGATGAACTATTTACCGACTCTAGTGGCACAATAAGGAGTCCCGTCTACAGAACTGGTCTCTACAGACGTAATCTGAACTGCACCTATACCATCAGACCTCCAACGCAGGGTCTATACAGGTTCAATCTGACGTACTCTCAGTTTGACGTTCAGAGGACGTCCTACAACTCCTCATCTTACAGTCTGAGTACATCATGTAGCTACGACTACGTGGAGACCAGGCTCTCAGGACTCACCGGCACCAGCAGATTGTGTGGCAGGATGAGATCACCAAGAACGTACTTCTGTAAGTCATGACCCCCGTGAGTGTGTCAACAGGGTATAGATGCCTTTGAGCTTCATTGCAGGTACCATGCTACCAAAACCGTTTGAGTTCAAATCAGTGAAATAAATTAATACAATTCCTATCGCATGATATTTTACACTATATTTCGATTGTTTTTTGTTTTCTGTAACATGACAGACATTGATCTATGTTACTGGTCAATGCTCAAAGATACCTTTGGCCGGTGACAGACATTGTCAATATAACCGTTGGAATATAACCGAGAATTTTGAGAATTTCCTGTAATAGTGAAGTATTTATATTTCAGATAACAGTATGAATGGAGGAATAGTCATCAATTTTGTGACAAACAGCAACATTGAGAGAAGGGGGTTTGTGCTGAACTATTCATATGGCGAAAGTACGTTCACATGTGTATTAAATCTTTATCAAATACTATCCATCACAATGTTTGTATATTCGATCACCTGTTAACAATGCGATCAACCATAGGTCATACAGGGCGTCATGATCAAATCAACGTGTATATGTAAGATTACTGGACAAGAGTTACCTTAACCATTGACCCTGTTTACAGTTTTGAGCCTCGATGTCAATCTCTACATTGACAGAGATACATATGTTCAGTATCAAGTTGTCGATGTTATTCCTCTTACTATTTCATCAATACCTTCATCAATATCAATATGTGTTTTCGTGCGTGCGTCCGTGCATCCATGCTCCCGTACTGTTGATGTGTAACGCCGCACTCAGACATATGCAAGCAAGATGCCATCAACCAAGTCACAGAGTCTGACCACCCTCTCCATTATGTCGTCTCTTGGAGCAGAGGTTGCTAGGGATCCAAACAAAAAAGTTGTTTTGCCATATTTCAATTTCATATTTGATAACCGTTGTCTTGGAGTAAAAGATTAACCTTCGTTTTATCACTTCTCTCTTTTAAAAATGTTGCTAATATATTTCACATGTCAGAAAGTCTTTTCCCCTCCCTCGAATGATTTTAAAATGTGTATTTCGGTTTTATATATTGTAACCATATTGCAGATACTGTTAAGTTTTGTCTCATTGCTGTGACCTACATCAATGTGTCATCTAAGGCGCCACGATTCGCTGTGCAGAGTTGCGTCCCTTGGGCACGCCAGAACCCTATGATTGTGGGTTCGAATCCCGGTTCTCCCCAATTATGTTTCCAGGTTTGTCAGCACCATACCCGTGCTCGTCGGTTTCACCGAAGTGGTAAACGTCTGAGACCTGCATCACTTTGGGCTTTCCTCCCACATTAAGGTTAAACCCAACTCACTCACTCACTCACTCACTCAGTTGTCATCACAATCTGATGACGTGAATGGTCACCCATATTAATGCCGTGTCAAACTTTCTAATATTGCGTAAAACTGCATTCTTTCGTTTGCCATATGATCGATCAGTTAATAATATTCAGTCTCGAGAAAAATGATGCTTCTGGAAAAATATTTCCTATTGTTAAAAGTCTTTAAACTGTATATATATATCATTGCATTAGTCCAGATTAACGTTGTTATAACATACAGATCAAATCTACTAAAAGCTTTTGCTTCCTCAACAGACAGCTGTTACCAGCTCCTGACAGATGCTGATGGACAGATTCAGGTCCCTGATGATGGTAACGCCACCTACTCACCTAACCTCGACTGCCTGTTCACCATCAGGCCTCCAGCAGGTCGGCTGTGGGTTGTTAACATCACTCTGGAGGAGTTCGACGTGCAGAGATATTATTCTTCCAACAATAACAGTTTCTCCACCTCCTGCAGCAATGATTACATACAGATGCTCTACGATGGCTATTCTTCCTCCAGGATGTGCGGAACAAGGACTTCACCCAAATCTTACATATGTTTGTACCATCAATGCTTGCCATCACCATTTGCTTGATAAAACAATGTTTGTACATGTACACATGATATCTTTAATGTATGTTTAAATGGATTTGCTCGATTGTTGCTCAAAAGATGTCATACATTGGAGCTGCTGGCATATTGCTGGACATCAATGGAAAGTTGACCATTGGAAAGATGAAGTCATCCTTTCTTTCATCCAGTGTTGTGGATAGTTATTTTTACTTTGAATCTGTAGGCATATATCTAAATCAGATGAGGGCGGTCGGGTAGCCTAGTGGTTAAAGCGTTCGCTCGTCACGCCGAAGACCCGGGTTTTATTCCCGACATGGGTACAATGTGTGAAGCCCATTTCTGGTGTCCCCCGCCATGATATTGCTGGAATATTGCTAAAAGCGGCGTAAAACCATACTCACTCACTAAATCAGATGAGGCAGTCTCTCGGGATTTCTCTAATAATGCTGAGGTGGGTAAATCAGTTGAAGGGAGTTGGCTATTTGACCATTATTGAATGATATCAGATCATCGAAATACCTGACCATGATGTTAACTTTTGCACTAAATTCCTTTGTTCTATTTTTGCAACTAGTGCAGAAATTCTGACTTGTATATGTAAACAATTAGATCTGCAAGGAGGAGAGCACAGTTGGTGCCCATGGTGATGCCTACATTATTGCATAAATATCATGCTCCCAATGTCACAACGGTGCTGTCTGTGAGGAGGTCCATCACTTTACGAAGTGCTTTCCAAGTAAACTTCAGATAACATATGATTCAATTTTAACAAATAGTCCTAAACCTTTGAAGATAGAGATACTAACTACATCTATGGTCTCCACGTTCAGTGACAAATGCCCCATCGATCAGAGACCGAAGAAAGACAATTACATGTGTTTAAAATGGTGGTTTATATGTGTGTACATTTGACTTCCTTATTTTCAGACAACATCTATGACAGTGATGTGAATATCACTTTCCACAGTGATGCCTCCTTTCAGAGGAATGGTTTCAACATATCTTTCTCCTACACTGAAAGTAAGCAGACGTCTTGCAATAGAAGGTTATATGCCCTGATTTTGTGTATACAAATTCTCCTTTAATGAAGCACAATTGACCTTTATCAAGGAATTATTCTTGTGCATCTTGAAAGGTGCATCTTGTTACAAATGCTAATCTCTATTGCAGTTCCAGTCAGTTTTAACTTGTAACCTGATCCCCCAAATGAAGATGCATGTACAACTATACATGACAGAAATATTTAATAAATGTATGTCACCCCCACAGCTTCATCTGAAGTGCTCAAACCTACTCTGTTTATAGCAAACTGACATAGCAAAATGTGTTACATTTCAGACACCTGTGTGACGAACCTCGACCAGAATACTGGTACAATCCGCAGCCCAGTGACTGAGGGTGGGGTGACCTACCCAACAGACACCTTGTGTATTTACTACCTCGACCTGGGGGATTCCCTCAAGACTGTTACTTTCACAGTCAGGGTCTTTGATGTAAACTGTGGTGATTATTTCATCGTTAACGGACAGCGTTTCTGTGGAAATAGATTGACCCAGACTACATGTGAGTAGTGAATCTATGTTAATTTCTATATTTCTTCACGCAGTCTACTATTTAGAGCATACGACTGAAGTGACAACGTCAATTACTTGGCAAATCTCAAGATACAGCTCAAAAGAAACCTGTTTGAAAAAAGAGAAGACTGCTGAGTGCTTTCCGAGATGATGTAAAGCGTTGTTAAACAGTAAATTTCTCCACTTTCTAATCTACGCCGATAAAAGTAATGTGCGACAATTTTTTTTCTTTAATAGCTCTGAATGGCATAAAGAAATATCAAATGTATTTTTATGCTATTATATAACTTTATACATTCGACAAAAAATAGCTTGCAATAAAGGACGAAAATCACTTTTTCTCTATGACGTCAAAAGACGACACAGAGGTAACATATGCACAAAGAAGTTGGGGTATAACTCTGCTATGTTTAGCATTAGTTCATTGTACCGCAAGTCACTTTTTGAGGATTTGCTGTGGATCAGGACAATATATCTTTGTATGTTGTTGTTTTCTCGAGGAACCAAACTACAATCGTTTAGCCGAAATACAGCTAGTATGACCTTACTTCATTTAAAATACAGTTTTCAATATGTGTGTGTGTGTGTGTGTGTGTGTGTGTGTGTGTGTGTGTGTGTGTGTGTGTGTGTGTGTGTGTGTGCTGTGCCCTGTAACACATTTTCTATTTGCTGTGTAATATGTAATGTTATTGCAATCTTGATGATTGTTTATATTTACCTGCACATCCTTGTTCGTTGTGTACCAATGTCTTATTTCCTTTGCCTATTCATTATTGCTCTTGTATAGCCTTTTACGATCCAAAATACTATTCCAGAAACATAAATAGTGAGCTACACAGATGTTATATTGTCTCAGTATAATCTCTAATTCGGGATGCCGAAAAACAAGTAGTACGACTTTACTTCAGGGAAAATACAGTTTTCAATGTGTCCATTTAAAACTACTATTATTTACTGGATGTGCGCTTTTTTCCTTCAGTCCATATGACAGGGAGGGTCAACATGACCTTCCTGTCCAATAGTTACAGCACAGGACGAGGAGTGGATGTCGACTACCTTGTAACTAACTGTAAGTGGCATTATAGATTCCTTGTGAGCTGAAAAGAAAAGAAAATGCGTCGAAAGTTCCATGAATATATTTCTCTGTCTTTTTCAAAGAACAGAAGAGCACAATGTGTCCAGTCACCGTTCAACAGTTAGAAGAAACTCAAAACTTACAGTGCATGAATGATTGTCCCACACGGGTTAAGTGTTCTTTAGAATAGTATATGATTTTGTAAATTAGTGAATTGAAATACAGGAAAACACTGATTGTCACCTTTAATATCCCTAAAATCATATCATGACATCGTTTTCTTTCAGACACATGTGATCAAGTATATCGTTCAACGTCAGGGAATTTGGATTTCTACACTGTGTCAAGAGTTCCCCTTGCACAAGACATGGACTGTGAATACATCATTCGTCCCCCCTACTACCCTTTCATCCTGACAATATACATCAGTCCCTTCTTTATGCCTTACAACTTTATGAGCAGCAACGGCACGTGTTCTGGCAGCTATGTGGAGATCGACGGCATACAGTACTGTGGAACTGTTTATGGCCAGTATAACTGTAAGAACTGTACTAAAAGTATAAAATATAGGGTGTCGCATTGTTATAGTATTAGAAATTGAAGAATATGTATTTTGGTTTGTTTGTCGTTAATGCCACACTCAAGTTATAATATAGCTTTGTGACAGCGGCCTTTAAATAATTGAACCTGGAACAGACAATCCAGTGAGCGATATTGGTAGCAACGATCAACACCGTTGGTGTAAGATGATCCGCGTTTATATCAGCCACCTTACGTGACAACCCGATCCATTCTCCAAGAGGCTGCGTCCTATGACCAACGTAGGCTGCTGGGGACATATTCGTAGCGCAAATACCAAGCAGATAAAGTGCAAGTTATCTATCTTGAAAAGGTGTGCTCAACATCAAAATGATCAGGATACTGACACTAATATATGATGTGTAATAACGCCCTACTTCTCCATATCGAGATAGATGTCGTAACTTGATATGTTTCCAGTCTCATCCGAGGAGCCTGAGCTGCCTGTGAAGTATCATAACTCTGTTAATTCAGTCACAGGGAGGAGGGTAGTCTTTCACATCAACTACAACACAAGGCCCGGTAGGTTATCTCGATGATAATAAGTGATCAAAGGTGAACTAGGTTTATTGCCCTAAGAGTGTTTCTTTGTGTGGTTTTATGGTCATTTTCAATAAATTACCCATTCTTTAAATCGATATATTTTACGTATCCACATTTGATAAGTTGCGTCCAGATAAATAATGTCAATTTCTCAGTTTCATGTAATATAACGCTGACCGACACCGCGGGCTACATCAACAGCTACTCTGGTTATGGCGATGAATCAGTGTACAGGCGTTCCTACAACGACGGTACTCACTGCATCTTCACAATAAAGGGGGATGACGTTGTGGGTCGGACAATTGTCTTTAGTCTCAATCAGTTCCACCTGGAGGAACCTGACAACAGCACATCTATCTGTAATGACTTTGTGGATATGAATGGCGAAGAGAGACTGTGTGGATACCAAAACGGGACTCGCAGCTGTAAGTGAAGGGCTTTTATCCGCTTTATTCAAATAGGAGAGATGTGTTATTATGCGCAGCCATATGTAATCAATGATTCTGGTTTTAGTCACATATACAGAAGAGCTCTTGCCTCAAGGTTCATAACAAATAACTATGTTGTAATTGTCCTGGTTGATATAGCTGTGATTCGTGATTATCTTTCTCACGTTCTACAGTCTGACATTGTATAAAATATTATACCTCTTTCTGTTACAGTCAACTTTGACGGTACATTTGTCGTGACCTTCATTAGTGACTATTATCAGACAAACTTAGGCTTCAACATCCATTACAACATCGTACCAGGTGACTATGCCAATAATTAATTGTAGAAAATAGTTGTCTTTAAAGACTGTTAATGACATGATGCACATTGCTCCGTGTCTGTGATCACAAATCGTTTTCAGTCACAGCAATACCCATATTCTTTATAAATTGCAAAAAAACATTAAGCTACTGCTGTTTACTTGGATGATACGTTCCTTTTCATGACATTATGTCCATAGAAACAATGGCACCTTGCCCTTCCTTACCAAAATCATGTAATCCCATTGTTGATCTCATGCCATGCATCAATTTTCAGCTGGATGCCTGGTCACGCACAACACTACTGAAGGCACTCTGATCAGCCCCGGGACAAGCAGTGGTCTGTACCACAACAACCTTGACTGCCGATACACCATGTTAACATCCTACACCCAGACTAAGGTCACGGTCACCGTCAATGCTTTCGACCTTGAATCCCCATCGTACAGTTCGAGCTACTGTTACAACGACTACATATACTTCACAGACGGGTCCTATGCTTTCGGGAGGTATTGTGGTGCCATGGCTGCAGGAACCAGGTTTACCTGTGAGTAACGTTTTATCTTATGTTTGTCAATTTGATCATCGTGATTTGTTATCGTATATGGACTCTTTTACTGCACTTCAAAGTAAGACCAATACTTTTTATATTTCTTGAAGGGTATACAAATGCGAGCCAATTCAACTTGATCCTTCATACAAACAGTGAGATCAGCAGACAAGGTTTCAATATGTCGTACAGGGTTGAAGAAGGTAATGGTATACTTTATGTGATATTCTTAAAAGATTCCCATTCACAAACGAATTAGAATATAAATTGATGAGATTGACGAATAACATACCAATAACAGATCGAGGGAGAATACGGATTCCCAAACCAATCCATTGGATATAAATCAATATCGAGATAATATATTCTCTTTCCCAAGTAAGGAAATCCTAACTATCATTATCATTATTATTCATCATTTTGTTATTTCAGATCTTTGCGATGAGCTATTTACCGACTCTAATGGCACAATAAGGAGTCCCGTCTACAGTACTGGTCTCTACAGAAATAATCTGAACTGCACCTATATCATCAGACCTCCAACGCAGGGTCCATACAGGTTCTATCTGACGTACTCTCAGTTTGACGTTCAGAGGACGTCCTACAACTCCTCATCTTACAGTCTGAGTACATCATGTAGCTACGACTACGTGGAGACCAGGTTCTCGGGACCAAACGGCTCCAGCAGACTGTGTGGCAGGATGAGCTTACCAAGGACGTATTTCTGTAAGTCATGATTATGCACTTTGAAAACATAGTATAATTCACTCTTAATCCGTATGGCAACAACTCCTGTCGTTGTTTTGACGAAAACGACTGTAAAGTAGGAGGCAAATTATGTTCGTGTAAAATCCTGACAAAAATATCACATTTTCTACTCATGTTACACTGTAATACTAAACTGACGGCCAAAAGAAACGTTACCGACGATATTTCTAGGATAAGATATGACAACACTATTTGAAGCAGCAGTAACAATAATATTGTAGAAATTCATCATTCAGAACAGTACAATGCGAATTTACTGATTCAACAACAAAGTCCTTGACCTCCAACGGGGACATTTCTTGACAAGGGGTCATTCGTCCAGTATTCGATCAACAACATTGGTTACAACTTTGAGGTGACAACGGCCCAGACCTTTCAGTACGGGATATGACCTCCATGACCGACAAACGTCCTAACATAGACTGCAGGTATCCGATTCCATACCTCACGGAGGGCAACGATCAACGCTTGTCTCGTGAAGGGAGGATGTTGACGTTTCCAAAGACGACGCCCCAGCTGGTCCCAGAGATGTTCGATGGATGACAGATCTGGTGATCGTGCTGGCCACGGCAGGACAGTCACGTTGTTGGGGTTGAGGAAGTCTCTAGTAATACGGGCTTTAAGGGGTGTGGCGTTATCCTGTTGGAACACCGTCCGTTGTTGATGCTGGATGAAAGGAAGAACCACTGGCCGTAAGATATTGTCAATGTAGCGTTTTGCTGTCAGATTGCCTTCGATGATGACAAGTTCCGTCTTCTCGTCCCCGCAAATGCCGCCCCAGACCATCACACTTCCGCCCCAGTAAGGTTCCAGCTCTTGGACACAACAAGGAGCCGCACGTTCACCACGTCGTCGATAAACTCGCGTCCGCCTATCAGGTTTGAAGAGTTGGAACCTGCTCTCGTCACTAAACAGCACTCGCCGCCATTCCCTTTGTTGTTGCCATTGCTGAGTTTGCCTGCACCACGTCAATCTGGCACGTCGATGTTGACGGGTCAAGGTCATGCCCTTGAAAGGGCGATAAGCCCGGAGACAATAATGTTGTAGTCGTCTGGTCACTGTTGTCTGCTGACCGGATGTCCTAAGCTGTTGGCATCTGATGACGTCACAGTAAGAAATCTGTTCCTCAGATGAAGTACTCGTAAAAAGCGGTCATCCTGCGGGGTCGTGACCTTTGGTCTGCCACTCCGTGGTCTGTGTGCGGTTCTGCCAGTCTGTCGGAGATGTGCGACCAGTCTGGTAATGGTCATCTTGGAGCAGTTCATGTTAATGGCAACCGCTCTCTGTGTCGGTCCCATCTGCAGCATACCTATGGTGCTCTCCCTCTGGACAGCGGTCAGTCTTGGCATGTTCGTTGGTGTTAATCATCGCAACCGATGATAGGGAACAGATCCGTGCGTAATATATACCCGGAAATTGCACGATAATTTTGGAAAGAATGTTTTAAAAAGTTGCTGAAAAACACCAATATCTCCCGAAATCCGCAAAGCACGTGCCAAGAACGACAGAGAACATAAAGGCTGTATTCGTGAGATGTGTTCTTTACTGTTTTTGAACAGGTCGGCATCTTTGTTTCAAAGTGGCAAATCAGTTAATGTTGGTAACGTTTCTTTTGGCCCTCAGTTTATAAACCTACTTTTCTTATTCACACATATTTAAGGGCAAACATGTGAGCAATGTACAGTGTGCGTCTTTGGTCTTCTTATATCACAGCTAGACAAATCAGACCACCACTTTTGAAAAGTACATAATCTTCTATCTCAATGCGTATGGGCGTGGCATGATTCTGCTAATGACATTTATATTCTACATTAACAATAGGCTACTACATCAGCTGCTGCAACCGTTTCTGTCAATGCAGACATGACACACTTGCTTTGCACACATAGATTCGTTTTGTGCTAGGCATGTGTAACTTGTCAGTTCCCTCTGTCTCCTATAACAACAAGATATCACACATTAATCTCGATAACGTTTTCGCACGTTTTCAAATGTTATGAAAACTTAAATAAACTGTAAAACGTAATTCCAAGCAAGTCTCAAGAGAAGCATTCTTGAAGAAGAAAAGACAAAGACTGTTTTCATATTGATTGAAACCACCATGAGTGTGGTTTAACTCAATACACGAGGAGGGAAAGTACATAGAGTGTATTCGTGGACTGGCAGATGATGCTGACACTTGGAATCACTTGGACATGTGGACTTAATTGTGTAAACACAAACTATTCATAACGTATGCACGCTATGAAACATTGTATGAGTGCTTCTTTGACTTCAAAAGGCCTTCCAAAAGGCCAAAAGCTTCGCATGAACAAAGTATACAAGCTACAGATTTTTCAGAACAGATTCACGTGTGAAGATCATATGGTTTTATTCAAATCATAACCAAGCTATCATCTAATAGTATATGAAGTTATTATTGTCAAGGCCTTGGACATATTCTTATTCGTACCTATCTAGAATAATATTTGGATTTATTTTGTTTGTAATCATTCTCGTAAAAAATGTTTGGGACACCAATGTAGCATTTCAGACGATTTGTTTGTCCTTGATGTTCCTTAAACTCTAACCATGTAGTCATAAACAAACAATACTAAAAGGTGCAACAGTGTCATTCAGTATAGTGATATATATGTTTACAATGTTTGTATAATAAACATTGCATTGTGTAATACGGCCCTCTGAAGTGAGGCATACAAGATGAATGTTGTAGACAAAAGATCTACTGTACCTACGATTACAAGTATGTAAACTGTTTACATTGAGTTAACATTCTGAATGTACTTGGTGTGATCTGGATGTCTAGCACCCATTATTATTTATCACTTTGTATTTCATACTTAATGAGCGATCTAAGACATGTTGTGCGTTCTAGTCAACTAAGACAATCCTTGTGTGGAGGCATGGATGAAGGCTGTATTGGAAGCATGTAACAGGGAGGTATAACATATTTAATTTTGAACATTCTTATAACCTTTATTTGCATCAACACAAATGACATATTTCAGATAATGCATCTGGAGGTGATTTTGTCATCAACTTCGTCACTGATAGATCTATACTAAGACGAGGATTTGTGATGGTTTATTCATATGAACAAAGTAAGTATTAACAAACGTATATTTTCATATGTAATAGTGAGTAAGTGGATTTGATTAAACGTGACATACGAATGTCTTTACTGCAGCAGCTGTACATGAGAATCGAGGCTTCCTTCCATCTAGACTTTTGTACTCTCTCATCGTTATTATAACGGCGCTATACGTTCACTGAAGAAGATGCCAGGAGGTTGACCAAAGCTGTTGTGAAGTATTATTATTGGATACTAAACACATGCATGTCGGTTGAAATGTGAGGATTTCGATGCGACTACCAACTACAACCAGACTCCTTGAACATTAGAAAAATAAATGTTTACGAAATGTAATCATGCCTTTTTCGTTATATCTTTTCAGATGTTCACACAACCACTACAACAACTACAACAACAACTACAACAACTACAACAACAACAGCACCGCCAACACGTAAGTATGCATGACATTTCCCGATAGACGTGACACACCGTCGACTCCCCCTTGGCATGTCTAGATTCTGATGATGTTTGTTCCTGACAATTTACACTTCAGTATACGAGTAGATGGATCTCTCCTTGTTGTAATTAGCATGCGTCTTGCATACAATGTGTCTTGGTACATGTATTTGTTGACGGATTTACGACACCCTGGTGCATATAAAAAATATCGCTTTATAATATCGTTCTGAATTCAGAATTACTTTTAAATACAGAATTTGTCACGGGAGTGTTTCCAGGAAGTTGGATCGTTGGTATGATAGTTCCTTTCTACAAGTTATTTGATAAGGTGGATCCGAATATGTTTTTGGTCATCTCACTGTTAAACATTATTGTTGTTAAGCTTTTCACTGTTGTATTTGCTGTCAATGTTCTGCATGTGTCTAGTCAGCTGTAACCTGACCCACACGGCCGACGAGGGCACTATAGAGAGCACCCCTGGAGATGGCTCCTACTACCCTAACAACGCCTACTGTACGTACACTGTACAGGGGAACTCCAGCCTGCAGACTCTACAGCTCACTGTACAGACCTTCCAACTGGAGGATCAGTCCAGCTGCCGTTACGACTCGCTCCAGTTCGGCTCAACTTCCAGCAGGAAATACTGCGGGAGCTCTCTGTACGCCGGCAGTGTTCTCACATGTGAGAATAACATTTTGCTGTTAATATTATTTTGTATCTTTCAACTACTTTATCTGTTGAAGATTAATAGTTTCAACTCGTGATATCAATGGCACAGAACAATGGAATACAACTAACAAAATAAGAAACGTCGTACGTTTCTTTTGTTTATGTGTGTGTGGCAGGGTGGTGGTGTTAATTCTGGTTTAATGTGGAACAGATTTTACAAATATCATTAAACATGAGGGTCAAGGGCGTTCCTTGGGTCACTCGCTACAATACGCGTTCGAATGCACCTATGATCAAGAGTCCACACCCAGATTCGGGTTTGCGAGCGTCGTTCCGTGTTTGTGGGTTTCAAGTGACATGCCTGCGCCGATTCGGGCTTTCTTCACACATGATACGCCATGATCTATCTGAAATATTGATTAAGCGGCGTCAAACCAAACTCACAAAAAGCTGTATCATTAATATTTAGTCATGTGTTTTGTTAGCTTCCATATGCTGGTCAGAATGAGTGTGTAAATGTTGTATCTTTATAATTTAGTTCGTGCCTCTTATATGCCAACAGATACGTTCAGGAACAACTTCATCTTGTACTTCAAGACAGACGGTAGCGTCACAAGGAGGGGATTCGTCATCAACTACAGGAAGGAGCCATGTAGGTGTTTAGCCAGAAACTGTAGAGGGGTAGTCAAGTAATCTTAAGGGAACTAACAAAAGTGATGTGCACTGAGAAGTTGCGACAGAGTCTGGTAATTGCTTAGCCGGGTTTAAAGATGTTTATATTATAATGGCGCTATACGTTCACTGAAGAAGATGCCAGGGGGTTGACCAAAGCTGTTGTGAAGTATTCATATTGGATACTAAACACATGCATGTCGGTTGAAATGTGATGATTTCGATGCGACTACCAACTACAACCGGACTCCTTGAACATTAGAAATAGAAATGTTTACGAAATGTAATCATGCCTTTTTCGTTATATCATTTCAGATGTTCCCACAACCACTACAACAACAACAACAACAGCAGCAGCACCTCCAACACGTACGTATGCATGACCTTTCCCGATAGACGTGACACACCGTCGACTCCCCCTAGGCATGTCTAGATTCTGATGATGTTTGTTCCTGACGATATGCACTTCAGTATACGAGTAGATGGATCTCTCCTTGTTGTAATTAGCATGCGTCTTGCATACAATGTGTCTTGGTACATGTATTTGTTGACGGATTTACGACACCCTGGTGCATATAAAAAATATCGCTTTATAATATCGTTCTGAATTCAGAATTACTTTTAAATACAGAATTTGTCACGGGAGTGCTTCCAGGAAGTTGGATCGTTGGTATGATGGTTCCTTTCTACAAGTTATTTGATAAGGTGGATCCGAATATGTTTTTGGTCATCTCACTGTTAAGCATTATTGTGGTTAAGCTTTTCACATCTATTCTTGAAATTCGTATAAGATTGCGGGTAAAGTTGAATAACATCTAAGATGAGTCTCATATAAGTTTTACTCAACATTTCCTAATATATTTTGTTTTGCAATCATTATCCCATACGAATCTATACTGTTCAAAAATAGGTTTTATGTTCACTTAATAGACTTCTGTAGAGCGTTTGTATGGAATCCTGGAACGGAACATTGTCGCGTTGTCGTTTTCAAGAATTTTTTGCACACATTTAATATGGGGCGATTCCATATGTTTGATTTGATGGATAGAAATACTTGTATGTTGTTATATGTATTGATATTATGAGATGTATTGTAAAAAAATCTTCTGTTAGAAGAGCTCACATCAAGCCTGAAATATTTTTTTTTGCTACTGAAAGAGTCGAAGAAATGAAAATTAGTGGCGTAATGGGGATATTTGTCAGAGTGAGAAAGTGAGTGAGCAAGTGAGTGTGGTTTAACGCCGCTTTGAACAGTATTCCAGCTATATCCGGGCGCGTCAGCTTAATGTAGGAGGAAAGCCCGAAGTGATGCAGCTCGTCTCCAATTTTGGTGAAACCCACGAGCAAGGGTATGATGCTGTCAAACCTAGAAACATAATCAGTGCGAACCGGGATTCGAACCCACAATCATAGGTTTCTATTGTGCTCGAGGGAAGCAACTCTGCACAGAGAACTGCAGCGTCTTTGACGACTACGCCACCCATGCCGCTATGGGTTTTTTTCTTAATGGAAATAACATTACTATTACTTTTTGGACAGCGGCAATACATTTATTGATGAAACAGTTCCATGCATTGGCTTGTAAAGACAATTAGAATTATTGGTGTTTTAAGAAAACTGGTTTCATTAAGAGCACCATATTAAAAAAATAGTGAATGATTAGAAGTATTTTGGTGGTCCTTTATTCAGCATAGGCCATAAAAAAGCATATTTTCATTGTTTTTCGATGTTTAGGAATTATCCAACATTTCCCTATGACATTTTTTAAAATATATTTGATTCTGTTTTGTTGTTCAACATATAATTATGTGTAGGTAACCTAGTTTCTCCTAAGACAGTTGCTGGAAGATCTTTAGATATATGAATTATGTTTTAGCTATTATAGTAGCTTTATCAAATACTTACAAATGGAAAATCACCGTTACCCACTGGCTTGTTACCAGATGTTAGAAACGTATGACGATATATAAACTAATATAATGTTCCAACAGGATTTTCTTATGTTTAGCTAGCGCAGGATTGTGGACATATTGATATTTCCCATTGCCTATTTCAAACAAAGCTTTAAGGATATTGTATTTCTTTATTGGCACAGTAAAATTATTATCATATTATTCTTATGTGCGTATTCGTATCCTCTACTTGATCCTGAAAAGTATGTATTTAAATTAATGCCACATAAGGATTTTATCAGTATATTGTGTAAGTGTCGCTGATTATTACACAGATATTAAATTAGGTGATAAATTTACTATGTTTTCAATGTAGAGCCATGTTACCTGTAAATTTAAGCGTGCTTAATAGAATTTGGAACCGAACCCGCAGCAACTTCGTGAACCAGCGTGACGTGGGCATCCGTAAAGAAAATAAGCAAGTCTTGCAAGGTCACCGCACGTCACTGTCATTACGTTACACTGTGACGCAGAAAATATTATGTCACAGTCGGCTATAGAAAAGCGCCAAATTTCAAGCTCATTCTGGTCCCTAAAACTTGAAATACTCTCTTTTAAGCGATTTCTATCGTCTGTTTTGCCCGAAATGTATTGCCAGACATACTTTTACTATTTGTATGAAACGCAAGTCTGCATTTTGCAACTAATAACTGTATTTATTATTATTTAAAAATGTTTACCGACGTTGACTGAGAAAGGAGTACTGTTCTATAAACATTAGTCTCCGCGGTGATGCGGCCGTCAAATCGTCTGTTTCCATCAGAAGTGGTTATTGTGATTTTTACCAATCAGTAACTTCCTTATTCATTTTGGAATATACAACTGCCCCGTTTTCATCTTCAGTAAGTGAAGATATTATAATCTGTAATAGGTGTGATAGTTGTCAAAGTATGGACGAATACAAGTTTATGTTGATATGCCCATATCATAATGTGAGCAGAAAACAGCATATTCCAGGATATGATTATCCCTCAGGACGTTCTGTCAACTGATATCTCAAAGTGACACTTATACCCTTATAGGTCTATCTATTTTCTTAAAAAGAAATCTGCCGATATGAAACACAAGGAAAAAGAGTATGCGTATCTTCACAAGTACCAGGTACCTAACACACGTCTTACCTTCACTTGTCTTTTCTATTATAGGATTTCTGTTTACATATTTCAACATTGAAGTATGAATACCGATGTTCTGTGTGAAAAAAAAGTTTGCACATCGGTTTTTTGACATACCTCAATGAATCGAAAATAGATACACAGTCAGTCCTAATGATTATTGATTACATGTTTCGAACAATAGGTTTATAACAAAATATCACATAAATCAAAACACATTACAATTACAGGTTGTTGTAGGATGGCAAATCAGGTGACTACTTATTTATGATCATAAACTGATCAATACGGCTCCCTAGTCAATGGCCGGTCAACGCAACCTTCTTAGATCCTGTCGATCAAGGAAAGATGCGACAAACAGAACATGATTGGGCGGATGCTACGACTTCGCCTACAATCGCTTTGTACGCGTGGATTGTAGTGGAAGCCTTAAATCGCTACCTCACAGATGTACAAAAAATGAAGCAATAGGATCTTTTTGTGCCAGTGAACCTAGCAGCTTGGAGCTCCACCAACTTGCATTGTTGTGAAAGCAGACAGTCTCGGTGGGCGTGGCTTTTCTTTTACATATATAATCAAACAGATTGCACGAATTACAATTAATACACAGCCTATTTAATTATATGCCAATACACAGCTGTTTCTACGTATTTATATTACGCGATACGTGTTATTATCTGTTGTTGTTGTATTATATGGCAAATAAATCACATCTTCACAGCTGTTATTTCGTTCTTAAAGTATATTGCTTCATATCGCTTATGATGCTTCATAATCCATGCATACACCTGCGTATTAAGTAAATATCAGTAAGTATTTAATTCTTTCTTCATATAATTGTTTTCTGTTCCAGCGACATGCACAGCAACCTTGTCGTCATTATCTGGCAGCATCATGAGCGCACCAGGTGACGGCAGCAACTACTTGGACAACACCCGGTGCAACTACACCTTCGCAGCGACATCCTACCCGAGAACCATTACCTTCACCTTCACAACCTTCCAGCTGGAGAGTCATTCCTCCTGCACATATGACTACCTGCAGTTTAACAGCGGCGTGAAGAAATGTGGAACTATCTCAAATCTCGTGTGTAAGTACTCCAAGCAGCTTGGGAAATGATCTTAAGCTGGACTTCGATGATGTTTTTGAGGTATCAATACTCCCATGCCTCAGCATATGCATAAGTTTGCGAGATATAGATATGTGTTAATTGGGCAGGTATTTCTGAAGTACAGATACAGAAAAGACAACTTTTGCACAATATATTGGGTACGTTTTTATTCAGTATACATCAATTGTAGATAATTCAGTGTAATTAAGTGCAGAAGAGCATAGCACAACATTATTGTAACTCTAAATTAAATTGACCAAAATGATCTGGCCCCACTCAACACCTCAATATACATCATGCATTGGTGTTCGCGTTGTATCCTGGGTGTGTGTTTGTCTCCAGATACTGACACGATGAACGGCCAGTACCGTGTCACCTTCTACACTGACGGATCAGTCACACGCCGTGGCTTCGTGGCCTCCTACCAGATCAGTGACGGTAGGTATTAATGGTTGATTCTCATCACACACAATCGTACAATAATCCTGCAAGCACCTCTGTATAAGTCCGTGTATCTACACCTCGGCCTTTTGTTCAGCTATCATGATTTAAAGCCATTTGACTTTTGACATCAACGAATTTGATGCTATCCTGTCCCGCGAGCCTCACCTATTTTTTTCACATTTTTTAGAATTTGATTTTACCAACACATGAAGGATGTTGAACATACACAGATCACGATTCTGATTTATTCTGTTAAAATGAGTTCAATTATACTGAATGTACATGTGCTATATGGAATGGAAATATTCTTCTGTAACAATAGGATCTTTGATATTTTGCATGGATCATCCCAGCCATGGCATATATCAACTTTGCTCACTGAATTAATTATGATCCGTAATTAAACATACCACGTATGTGTTTTGGAATGTTCACGTTTTGCCCCTGCGGTAAACATTAAGCTTCCCACATCCCTGTAGATCTCGTTGAAATCAGTGCTCCCCCCACCCAGATAATGTTCTGCTTCCCACACCCCAGTAGATCTCGTTGTAATCCGTGCTCTCCCCACCCCGATAATGTCCTGCTTCCCACATCCCTGTAGATCCCGTAGAAATCAGTGCTCCCCCACCCCGATGATGTCCTGCTTCCCAAGCCCCAGTAGATCTCGTTGTAATCCGTGCGCTCCCCACCCCGATAATGTCCTGCTTCCGAAACCCCAGTAGATCTCGTTGAAATCAGTGCCCCCAACTGATAAGGCATTATGTATTTCAGCTGTGAACGCCACCACGCCCACTCCCGTCAGTACAGGTAAGTTCATTCTTCAATGTTACAGTGATGCTACCTAATCCATGCATACACCTGCGTATTAAGTAAATATCAGTAAATATTTAATTCATTCTTTATATAATTGTTTTTTGTTCCAGCGACATGCACAGCAACCTTGTCGTCATTATCTGGCAGCATCATGAGCGCTCCAGGTGACGGCAGCAACTACTTGGACAACACCCGGTGCAACTACACCTTCACAGCGACATCCTACCCGAGAACCATTACCTTCACCTTCACAACCTTCCAGCTGGAAAGTCATTCCTCCTGCAGATATGATTACCTGCAGTTTAACAGCGGCGTGAAGAAATGTGGAACTATCTCCAATCTCGTGTGTAAGTACTCCTAGCAGCTTGGGAAATGATCTTAAGCTGAACTTCGATGATGTTTTTGAGGTGACAATGCTCCTATGCCTCAGCATATGCATAAGTTTGCGAGATATAGATATTGTTAATTGGGCAGGTATTCCTGAAGTACAGATACAGAAAAGACAACTTTTTCACAATATATTGGGTACATTTTTTTTTCAGTATCCCTCAATAGTAGATAATTCAGTGTAATTAAGTGCAGAAGAGCATAGCACAACATTATTGTAACCCTAAATTAAATTGACCGAAATGATCTGGCCCCACTCAACATCTCAATATACATAATGCATTGGTGTTCGCGTTGTATCCTGGGTGTGTGTTTGTCTCCAGATACTGACACGATGAACGGCCAGTACCGTGTCACCTTCTACACTGACGGATCAGTCACACGCCATGGCTTCGTGGCCACTTACCAGATCAGCGACGGTAGGTATTAATGATTGATTCTCATCACACACAATCGTACAATAACCCTGCAAGCACCTCTGTGTAACTCTGTGTATCTACACCTCGTCCTTTTGTTCATCTGTCAGGATTTAAAGCCATTTGACTTTTGACATCAAAACGAATTTGATTCTATCCTGTCCCGCGAGCCTCACCTATTTTTTCATATTATCCGCCGCCGCGCGAAAGCGCGAAGCGGGGGATATAGTATTCACGACCGTCCGTACGTCCGTCCGTACGTCCGTCCGTCCGTACGTCCGTCCGTACGTCCCACCTGTTTGTTGCCGCGATATCTCAAGAACTAAACACTGGATTGTCTTCATATTTGGAACTATGGTGTATATACAGACTCCGCAGACACCAGTCGGTTTTGGTGACCTTGACCCCATTTTCAAGGTCACAGCAGGCAAATCTGCTTTTGGAGTTGGAAAACGGTGTTGCCGCGATATCTCAAGAACTAAACACTGGATTGTCTTCATATTTGGAACTATGGTGTATATACAGACTCCGCAGACACCAGTCGGTTTTGGTGACCTTGACCCCATTTTCAAGGTCACAGCAGGCAAATCTGCTTTTGGAGTTGGAAAACGGTGTTGCCGCGATATCTCAAGAACTAAACACTGGATTGTCTTCATATTTGGAACTATGGTGTATATACAGACTCCGCAGACACCAGTCGGTTTTGGTGACCTTGATCCCATTTTCAAGGTCACAGCAGACAAATCTGCTTTTAGAGTTGGAAAACGGCGTTGCCGCGATATCTCAAGAACTAAACACTGGATTGTCTTCATATTTGGAACTATGGTGTATATACAGACTCCGCAGACACCAGTCGGTTTTGGTGACCTTGACCCCATTTTCAAGGTCACAGCAGGCAAATCTGCTTTTGGAGTTGGAAAACGGTGTTGCCGCGATATCTCAAGAACTAAACACTGGATTGTCTTCATATTTGGAACTATGGTGTATATACAGACTCCGCAGACACCAGTCGGTTTTGGAAATCTGCTTTTGGAGTTGGAAAACGGTGTTGCCGCGATATCTCAAGAACTAAACACTGGATTGTCTTCATATTTGGAACTATGGTGTATATACAGACTCCGCAGACACCAGTCGGTTTTGGTGACCTTGACCCCATTTTCAAGGTCACAGCAGGCAAATCTGCTTTTGGAGTTGGAAAACGGTGTTGCCGCGATATCTCAAGAACTAAACACTGGATTGTCTTCATATTTGGAACTATGGTGTATATACAGACTCCGCAGACACCAGTCGGTTTTGGTGACCTTGATCCCATTTTCAAGGTCACAGCAGACAAATCTGCTTTTAGAGTTGGAAAACGGCGTTGCCGCGATATCTCAAGAACTAAACACTGGATTGTCTTCATATTTGGAACTATGGTGTATATACAGACTCCGCAGACACCAGTCGGTTTTGGAAATCTGCTTTTGGAGTTGGAAAACGGTGTTGCCGCGATATCTCAAGAACTAAACACTGGATTGTCTTCATATTTGGAACTATGGTGTATATACAGACTCCGCAGACACCAGTCGGTTTTGGTGACCTTGACCCCATTTTCAAGGTCACAGCAGGCAAATCTGCTTTTGGAGTTGGAAAACGGTGTTGCCGCGATATCTCAAGAACTAAACACTGGATTGTCTTCATATTTGGAACTATGGTGTATATACAGACTCCGCAGACACCAGTCGGTTTTGGTGACCTTGATCCCATTTTCAAGGTCACAGCAGACAAATCTGCTTTTAGAGTTGGAAAACGGTGTTGCCGCGATATCTCAAGAACTAAACACTGGATTGTCTTCATATTTGGAACTATGGTGTATATACAGACTCCGCAGACACCAGTCGGTTTTGGAAATCTGCTTTTGGAGTTGGAAAACGGTGTTGCCGCGATATCTCAAGAACTAAACACTGGATTGTCTTCATATTTGGAACTATGGTGTATATACAGACACCGCAGACACCAGTCGGTTTTGGTGACCTTGACCCCATTTTCAAGGTCACAGCAGGCAAATCTGCTTTTGGAGTTAGAAAACGGTGTTGCCGCGATATCTCAAGAACTAATCGCTGGATTGTCTTCATATTTGGTAGTATGGTGTACAGGCGGGGGATATTTCGTCACTCTGTGACAAATACTGGTTTTTTTTAAATTTGAATTTACAAACACATGAAGGATGTTGAACATTCACAGATCACGATTTATTCTGTTAAAAATGAGTTTAATTACACTGAATGTACATGTGATATATGAGATGGAAATATTCTTCTGTAACAATAAGATCTTTGATATTTTGCATGGATCATCCCAGCCATGGCATCTATCAACTTTGCTCGCTGAATTAATTATGATCCGTAATTAAACATACCACGTATGTGTTTTGGAATGTTCACGTTTTGCCCCTGCGGTAAACATTGAGCTCCCCACACCCCAGTAGATCCCGTTGAAATCAGTGTTCCCCCCACCCCGATATTGTCCTGCTCCCCACACCCCAGTAGATCCCGTTGAAATCAGTGCTCCCCCCACCACGATATTGTCCTGCTTCGCAAGCCCCAGTAGATCCCGTTGAAATCAGTGCTCCCCCCACCCCGATAATGTCCTGCTCCCCACACGCCAGTAGATCTTGTCAAATCAGTGCTCCCCCCACCCCGATAATGTCCTGCTTCCCACATAACAGTAGATCTCATTGAAATCAGTGCGCTCACCACCCAGATAATGTCCTGCTTCCCACACCCCAGTAAATCCCGTTGAAATCAGTGCTCTCCCGACCCCGATAATGTCCTGCTTTCCACACCTAGTAGATCTCGTTGAAATCAGTGCTCTCCCCACCCCCAATATTGTGCTCAAATGTCCTCAAGTCGTCCTCATGGGATCGTAGTGTTTGCCATGACTGTAGATATTTTGGAAAATAGGAAAATGATTTGACCTCTCTTCGTGGGCAATGTTGGGCTAAAAGTAAATCGTAAGACGTTTTTGGGGGAAAATATAATCATGAGTCTCACTTTTAGTAGTTAATTTCTTGAGTTGCTACTAGACAAACGATTTAATAAAAATATTCTCTTTGAGTGTCTCTCTATTTCTGTATTCAGCGCGTACCTGTTCATGAATTAGACTTATTGTTATTTAGCCTTCCTAGTATATAAACATATCTGAATTAATGTTACGATTCGTCTCCAAAACTGCACAAGGTCCTAATTTGTGACGCCAGTATTATATAACATGTGCAGTGAAGTATATGTTGAGTAGTACTTTAGATATATTTATTACAGATATAAAACGTCAAAGCCAGAGAAAAACTAGTCACGACTATCTAACTTTTTTCATTTCAATTGTAGCGAGTGACGTGCAAAACACAACTTCAAACCCCATTTGGCTGGCATCAAACAACGGTGAGTGATGTACATGTACTTCAATATTAACCCTGCTGATCGTTCAACCTTCAACAGTAGTTTTAGATCATTTCATCCGAAGTGTCATGCCAGCTAACGCTGTGTAACGTCGTCAACTGTATTAAGCTGTTTTCCAGGTAACATATAATTGTATCCAAAGTAACATATTTTGATGCTTTAGCTGTGTGATCAATGCAATTCCAATCGAAGGGTTACATTCTAATTCCTTATGAAATTGGATATGAAAGGAGTTGCTCAGTGGATCGCTCCCTCAATCTGATTTCACATGTTAGGTTTCTGTGCGTTTGAATTGATCTTTTAAGACGTAATATTCAGTTTACCTAGGATATATACAGTGTGGACGCAAAAGGGTCGAAATCAGTATATGTGGCATAACAATGGCCCAATACCTGGTGCAGCAATATATTAATTTCATTTGTCTGTAGTAATTATGACCATTTCCTCTCGACTCGGACAGAAATAAAGTACCTTTTCAAAATGAAGAAGGGCTTGTGAGATATTTAAGTTTAAAAACTATGAATATTGCAGTGTTCACATGACAAAGTTACGATGTATGAAAAATAGATAAAGGTTCTCTCTGAAGCTGTTATTGTGTTAAACTACAAAACGGCTTTCTATCTAGGTACCTGTGGCACAACGCTGACATCTTCCACGGGGCGCATCTACTACCCAACTACCGCCAGTTACACCAACAACGTCCGTTGCCAGGTGACTATCAGACCTGGGGCTGGACAGACATTCAACGTCACCTTCACAGACTTCGACCTCGAGTATCACTCTTCCTGCAACTACGACTCTCTGATGTTCCGGGTGAACGGAGTCAACTCTTCCAAGAACTGTGGTCGCAACAGAGCAGGCCTAACACTTAGCTGTACGTATTTCGTTTCTGAGTCCGGAAGAGTTTTAAAAGACAATTATTGTCAGTCGTGCCTAAAATGTGATGTTGATGATTTAATATATTAGTACTTGAATGTGAAGGTTGCCTAGTTAACTTCTACAGTAAGGATGTCTCCAACTGTTGCAGTCCCCTACACCAGCGGTGACATCGTGGTGAACTTCAGGAGTGATGGCAGCGTCACAGGAAGAGGATTTGATCTCAACTATCAAGTGACCTAGGGTGAGGCGATTGGGTGCAGATGTACATGTATATATAGTGACGGAAAAACGTAACCATGCTTCATATAAAGTTTAATAAAAACAGATTTATTTTAAAATTAAATAATGCATCTTTCAATACATATTCATAAAGGCATCTCCTCGACTTTAAAATCGTGATTAACGATTTTCATTTGTCAATGTACGGCGCACAATTTGGATGTTTGCGTGATGTTGTGAGTATGATATTCATTCACGCGGTGTTTGAAAGTGAACAGCCCACCATGATTGTTTAGCTATCAGGTGTTCATATAAAATCTTTTGTTTAAGTAACGCCTACGCAATGCCACGACTTGCTGTAAAGCAATCTTCGCGCCTAGGTATGCTGCAAACAGAAATGGCGCAAAACGAAGTTGCAATACTGCAATGTTCATCAAAACATAATATCACCTCTTTGAAGACGTTATCTACAGCAGGGCAACACTCATGACTTGCCACGGACCTGCGGTCCATGTGTGAAGTTACGGCAACCGTATTCGTTTGGTAAATCTACAGAATAGATATCAAACTGCCACAAACTGCCATAAAATGCCACATTAACAACTCGGACAATTACTGGGTTGAGATCAATTAGTTATATAACCATAACCACATCCGGCACCGACGTCCAGCGATACGCCATATTTCCACGTCACCGTCGGGAACACATAGCTCAGTGTAGGTTCAGGGGACGAGGCTGGGACAGTATACTGTTGAGAGACAGGTCCAGGTTTCATGTTCTACCCTTTGTACCAAAGCAGGGACGTAACGTCACGATGCAGCAGGATCATTACTGCCCACATGTTGCACGTCTTGAAACAGAAATTTAGAGGCCGCATGCAAGACATTGCTGTAGTGCCATGGCCGGCTGTTCCTCCTGGAGACGGTAACGCTAGCTCAGTTTGCCCTATCTTTGGTTGACATTTGGAACAAGAACACACACACACCACACACACATACACACACACCACACACACACACACACCACACACAAACACCACACACACACACACCACACACAACACACACACACCACACACACACACACACACACACACACACACACACACACACACACACACACACACACACACACACACTGAACACAAATGGTGGTCACACCCGATATTGACATTGTAAGTTGAGTTGTTACACCACCCCATTGTTCGGGCCTGTCACTTTGTCTCCCGTCACTAGGTATGGATTTGTTATAATAAAACATTGATCAGAAGAATGACCAAATAATATGTTTATCATTTTCAATAACATAACATTAACACAACTTTATGTGAAGCACGGTTACTTTTTTCGATAAAAACGTCACTATTTGGAAAAGATTCGTACAGTCAAAAACCGAGTTTTATGCGCGCAACGACTAACACCTATTCTATTACATCGACAAGCTGAACATTTATTGTAGTTGTTTTTACCTGCTCCTTAAATATGAGGAAGGTGCAGTTAGACATACCTTGAGTATCAGCAGTGACCCTAAATTTATACATCCTGTCTATAATATTTAAACATTTACGTTTTAGTGTTGCATTTCCTCACTATATATCAATGAATCAACCCATTTTCAGGACAAGCATGCCTTTCCTGCCTGATGGCTGTATCTGCTGAAGCCCTGTCTTACTTGACCATTGATGAGACGAGTCAGCAGCCATCCAATGTAGACACCATTAACACCTGTCTGGTGGCATATTACACATGGAAGTAATTCATATTTAATCAGAAATCCATATATCGATAGTGCCTGAAGCTTAGCTTTGTCTCACTTATTGTTTTGTCCATGCATGTTTACTGTTGTTTTTCTTCTTTTTGATGGTTAATGTTTTGTCTTTGATATAGTGTAGCACAAGTGTTCTTCAAGAATTATAGCTCTTCTATTAGCTTGACTATCTTTTGTTTTCTTGTTTTCACTTTGTTTTAGTATGTATACTGTTAGGATATTTGTAGTATACTTTTTGTGTTTGTTTTACTATCTCTTAAAAATTATTTCACATTAAGGATTCCCATGCATATCCCTTTGTTACCCAACTTACATTTTGCGTTATGTACTGTGTACTAATTAGGCATTGATTATGATATATTGTTTTGTTTAGAATTTTCATTTCACGCTAATTTTATCGAGTTATCACCTGTGTAATGAATCCCATTATATGTTCCATAGCACAGAACATATAAATAGAGATTACTATACGGGTATGTATATTGAATGACGGCAACATTCTTCAGCTATGACGTCATTACTATTGTGACGTCATTACCACCTTACGTCACAATGTGATCCAATGATTCCGGATGACGTAAACAATACACCGGCGCGTGTGAAGTGATATTTGCCCAATTAACTCGGTTACCTATTACCCTATGGATAAAAAATAGTATAGTTATAGGCGCAACCACACGCGCACACAGTGACAAGGAGGGAGAGACATCCAAAATGCTTAAGTATCCTGGGAGATAATGCTAACGCCAACATTCCCCTCCACATTCAATTGGACACTTTTTCACTTTATTTTAGTCTCAAATCAATAGTATTACAATGTTTTCGCAAATGATTAGCTGTAAACCCTGGAGATCTTTTCATCCTATACATTTAAGGATTCGTTTATTGTGCTTTTGAAGTGCTGTACTGTACGTCTATTTCCTTGTTGTGAGCAACATCTTAGTTTATACTATTGTTAGTTAATACGACCAAACGTTTTGTATGCAAGCTTTAGAAATAAAATTTCAAGAATTAAATGCAATTATATTTATTTGTTATCAATAAATGTTGCATTTGTCCATAATAATTATGGAATACAACATGGTGCACGTCACGTTACCACCAACGGAAGCTCAAGATCTTCGCAAAGATATGGTTCATGTTATGAGAAATATTATCCAAAGACATACGCTCATGATGTTAATCTGTTGACGTTTCGATTTCAATTTCATTCACAACGCCAATGCCTCAGTGAGTCATTTTGCCATTTGTTTAGCAATAATAAATTTAATATTTTGCTGTGTATTGATATTTTACTTGGCATCATTCACTTACAGAAATGTGTGTTTTAACTGACACGCTGTGAAGATGCCAGCTGTGCACTGTTCTTTATTATTCTTCGTCACACTTGCTTGGCCTTTCTGATCTAATATATTGGGGGTAGAATGGATCTTCTGCATGTCATCACATCCCATTTGCGTAGATCGATGCTCATGATGTCAGTCATTGAATTGTCTGGTCCAGACTAGATCAATACAGACCGTTGTCATATAGATGGAATATTGTTGAGTGCAACTTTAAAAAATAATCACAAACAAACCTGATCTGATATGCACGGGGTATTTGTCCCCTGGTCGCGAATTTAGGGGTTAAAACAAGGACTTTGTGCATAATTGTCTCCGATTTATACTTATGTGTTCTCGAAATATTGTCAAAAATTGACGAAAGTGAGTGTCGAAGATGGTGCCTCAGGAACTTGAAACCTAGCAAGTTATGTTGGTCGTTTGTGTCGACTCAGTGAATCAGGTTCACACTCGCTGACATGGTTGATAACGTGCCAACCCCCCTCGACGGCAAGATCACCGGGGGCAGTGGCTATCGTCGGATACACTGATTTTCCGTTGTTTCAGTGTAAAATATATATAGAAGAAATCATTTGTGGAAATACAAACGGTACATGAGTTATGCTATGGAAATTAGGCCTTCAATTATTGGAATTTTAAGAAAACCGGAAAAAATAAGAGCAATAACGTTTCATGATGCTGCTAATTAAGATTCAGAATAGAAGTCGGTTAAACCGCCATTCTGAAAAGTAATGGAGACGAGCCCCGATCTTTGAAATATATGTTCTACACAAAAGAAGTTCAAGATTACCCTGTTCTTTCTTTCATATTACTGAAGTTTATTTGTCATGACATACGCTCGACAACAGTGTGAACATTGGAGCAAGTGTGGGAAATTATGTTTTAATAATATTTTACAAAAGATTTTATTCCTTTTGTTCAAGGAATGAGGTTAATGATGCTCTTGAAGGTAGTACATGTGACTTTTTTATTTATTAGTTTTTTATAATGTTATGAACATATCGAAAAACGTATTCCTTGCTCAAAGTGAACCATTTCATTCCTACTTTTCAAAGAATGAGGTTACAGGTTAATAGCGTTCTCAAAGATCGCATATGTGACGTTAAAGTGAAGACATTTATCTAGTCTATTTGTACACTTGAAGTCAAATATAACATTGTACATGTATAACGTCTGTCTGCATTATGTACATACATTCATCATAATCAATATTATGGTCACTCCTTTCGGCGGCGTCTAAATCTCAAAGATGACCGACAACATAATTCCTTGAACAATGCAAAAAAAACACACAAAAAAGTGGCTGATAATACAGACGTTTTTAAGTATTTGTTCTAGCTCAGTCCAATTTATTTACCTATGAAGTCATTTGCAAGTCTAAGCGTGGTAGAGTATTTTAAGAGAGCTGAAACGATTTGCGTTATTAGACCAGAAGTGTAATAATCATCATGACGGTAAAATAAGAACAAAAATTCTAATTTTACTTAAGTACGATCGGAAATGCTACAACACTGCTTATCTGACTTCATGTAATAAATACGAGTCATAGGACTATAATAAAACATATATCAAAATAACGCGAATTGACCTAATCTGGCCTGTCCTAACTGACATTTTGATTACCCTTCAAATGTACTTTTACAGGTAAAATCATGATCAATCAAGAAAATATTCGTGTGTTGTCATGCATGTATGAAATGGCCTAATTACCTGACACCTGTCCCGAGGTGATGACCTCACACCGTCCGTGCATTCTCCGAGGTGCAAATGTCACCGAGTTGGGTGTGGTCTCAAAATATTGCTGTTATTGTATTTAATTGACTAGCGTTGATGGGGTAGCAATTTAGGATATGTACTGCATTATATTTACTTGGAAACTTGATGGACTAGTTAAGAGCTATGAAACGGGATGAGTATTGGAAGCTTGAGGTTTTTTTAATCCAGAGGTACTTGTTGTTCAACAGATGGCTGCTTGAGGTAGCATTTATCTCCGCTGATGACGTATATGAAACTGTACTTATGAATGTTATGTTATGTCTACGAACCCGTTACACTTAGCCAAGATTGGCACAACAGGGTTGAGCTCACAATGTCTGACTGGCGTACGTAAGACAACGTAACCGTGTTGTGCCGCCAGCACATATGTCTTGTACTTTACTGGTTTCTTATTCAGCCGAATTTTCTCCATGAGTTGAACTTTCGTTTCATATGGTCTGAAGTCGACAATGTCATATATTCCTGTATGGTCGCCTTCAGACTACTCATGGTTTGGGCGACAGTATCTGATTCCCGGACGTTATATTAATTGGCGTTATCCATGACAATAACACTGGCGTTGTTTAAAATAGGCGTCCGGTATCATTCAAAGTATTTTTTTTTCATTTCTCTGTGATTTTAATCGTAGTATTTTTGTTTTTTTAACTGTTTGGTTAATAATTCTGACCACCGCCAGTAGCCAGAGCAATGGTGTAAATCCTGCTGGGGACCATGTAGGTAGCAGAAGTACCGTAATTCCCCATGGTCCCTAGTATGGTGGCCGATCTTTGGTTGCTTGTGATCTATAGTTCATTTATATATTGTATCATGACATATAGTGATATCTTTTTATGATTACATGCTTGTTTTAACAATGTATCCGTGATATTCTAGTTATTTTACTGTCCGTTGATGACAAGTTTTTATTAATTGATAATTTATAATAACTTCTCGTCACGTTATGGCTGAAATATTGCCGATATGACGTTAAATTTAACTCACTCACTCACTCACTGTTTAAAATGGGCAATAGCTGAAGTTCCAACCAGTCTATAAACACATCACCTCCTATAATGTCCTTATGAAAATCACCAGTTTTCTTTTTCGCCTCGAAAACTATTACACATCCATCAATAAGCCCCATATCACGGGTTGCAGCGTGCAAAACAATGACACGTTTATCTTTACCTGATGGTACCATGGGTGCTTTTTGTCCATCTGCCGATAGCCACATGTAGTCAGTGGAACGATTCATCAAGGTAAATTATCTGGACGCCCTGACTGTGATAGTTATGAATGGTTCGGAGATAATGTGACCCCATAGACAGGATGGAATATTTCCCCTGAAAAATGCTCGGTCATCGCCACGCGCAGTGTATCGAAATCTCATCTCTTGGAGAGCAATAGTTAGTGCAGTCCGGGAAACATTTATTGTATCTTTAATTCCTCCCAAATTCTACTACCAGTCAGGGTTACCTTCTGCTGATGAAGCTTGTGCGCTATACGCTTCATCACCCTGTATCACAGCCATCTAATACCCTTTACTTCCCAGTTTTGTTTTGAGACCACCCCTATACCTGTTTTGTTTTCTTATCATACCGTAGACTTGATGGTATGATTTTAAAACCCCATAGCTTGGGCAGTTCGGTAATTCACCCCATCTAAATAAATCAATGGTTTCCCTCTATCTCTCTAAAGTGTAAAGAACTTGTATACATTTCCCAGTACAGACTCCATATCGTGTACCATGGTTATGGCTATGCAAGTGTAATGTAACATGCATCATGGGAGCAATGTTAACAAAAAGTGCAGCGTCAGTTTGTCATTTTAGAAGATGCACATCTAGAAATTTCTCAAAATGATTTTTGTGTGTGGATTAGATGTTTTATGAAGACTACATCATTATCATTATAACGGAGTCAGGTGTGCATATTTCAGACTGTCATCATTGGACTTAGAATAAATGTGAACTTCCTGTTTTCGTACGAATTTGTTTCCTGTAAACTTGTCGATAGGACTCGTTGTGACTGAAGTACTTCAAACCACAAGTAGGGCGATCGGTAGTTACTCG